CAAAGTTAACAATCAAACTACCTCTGAATACATCTTCGTCTCAATTTGTCTGTACTTGAAGAAAAGGTTGTATAAAGAAGCCAAGGATGATTGTAACTATCTTGCTGCTTTTATAACTGCTATATTCTTCAATAAATACCAGTTACAAGTCAATTGTTTTGTGCGTCACCTGTTTATTGTTAGCCAGCAAGCTGATCATAACACCCCTCTTATTATCTTATTGTTCGATGTATAATAAAGCTACATGCTACCTGGACATCATCACATGTTACAAAGTAAACCTAAAAACAAAATTGACAAGGTTATACAATATTGACCCTTTACAGAGTGTGCTCAAACAGTGAAGGAAGTGAGAATATTAATATAAGTATCATCATTCAGGAGACTCTTATACTTATTCAGTGCCTTCTTTAATCTTTTATAAGTGGTGTAAAGCGTTATTGATCACCTCATACGTATTTTCTCTATCTTTAGTGACAAATATTGATAAAGCGTTGCCGCCATGAATAGTAGATGAAATTGTTTCTTGTCAGCAAAACATAAAATGTACAAAGCAGTTTGACAAAGTGGGGAAACATGACATTTAGTCATTTGTTCCAATTTTGCTTTTGCAGCCAATATCTTGTGCACATACCCGTGTACTGTAAGCAGCTTTTCCCAGACGCAGACAGACATGTGGGTGTGCCCCTGAAACACATCCTGGAATAGACTGTTGCTTAATATTCTTGAGTGAAAGCTACATTACTGAGACCATTTCCCGTAAACTTAGTTGCAACACATTTTATGAATGGGAAAGTTGAACAAGCAGTTGGAGTGTACTGTAAAATAAAAAAGGGAATTAAAAAAAAAAGGAATTTGAAAGTCGTTCTTCCTTCTCTGTTGTATCTTAGTGCAGAGTCTTGCTCTTTGCACCAGTCACATTTTTGTGTGCCTCTATGCTGACAAAGTCAAAGGTCTTATGTCCATAAGTGGATAATTCTTATGCTAATTCAAACAAATGGGCAAAATATGTGGAGCAAAATAACATTATGTGGGAGACACTAGAGCACCCCCAACTTTATTTTGGGAACAGTTTGGGACAGGCCCTTTCCCACTTCAACATGATAATGACCGCATGCACAAAGCAAAGAACCTGATTGGCCTGCACATATGCGTTGACCTCCACCTCATCCAATACCTTTTGGGGTGAATGGGATCACTGGCTGCGAGCCAGGCCTCATTGGCCGGCGTCATTGCACAACCTCACTGATGCTCCTATGGCTGAATGGGAGGAAATCTCTGCAGCCAAAATGTAATGGTAATTGATCGCAGATGGCTCTTATAGCAGCTAATTAATCCCTACGGTTTGGTAAAGAGAGTAACGTTGCGTTGTCCACATGCACTTTCACGTGCAAAATATATACTTTTGGCCAAGTATATATCTCTCACTCTGACAGTTTAATACAAAAGTATCCTCTGGGCTTTTCCTTGCAGCTATAGGTGTTTCCCGCTCATCAATAAAGTGTGTGAAAACTTTGACAGAAGTCGATATATTTCCCACTTAAGAAAACTCCAGCCTAATTACCCGGCTCATATGCACCCCTGTGTTTACCTGCTCTCTCCGCTCTGCACTCTATTGATGCCGCTTTCTGATGCTGTTGCTCCCGCTTCTTCTCTGCTTTGGCCTCGCTTCTCTGCCGTGCTGAATGCGGTTGTTTTTGTTTGCTGTCTCGACCTCCCCAGCATCCACCCACGGGTTCTGTTCCTTTAATCCTTGATAGGACATTGGCAGTGATCTCTCTCTGTGCGCTCACCTGCTGCTCAATAGGTTTTCAGGGGCAGTAATAGGAAACATGTCCTCGATGCCAAACCATTTTGCATTTACCTTCTTCTTAAAACTCAATATTTCTCTGTCCCTCACCATATTTTTGTGTAAATTAAAAATTTACTTTGGGTTGTCTGTTTTAACAAGCCCATTGTTAAATCTACACTTTGCATCGAATGCAACTTTCATCTTGAGTGTGTGCGTGTTTGAGGTTGAGTGTGGAGTGACTCAGTCTGTTTTTCCAAAAGTAATCTGTTGTGGAATAATTCTTTAAAAATGGAACAAAACATCACTTTAATCAATGCTGTTGACCAACAGGTGGAATGTACCACACTTTACATTTGGTGGAAAGTTGCTTTCTTTTTCTCTCTTCTTCTCTCAGTTTTCACATTCATACAGTGACCATTAGAGTCCAACAGGACTAAATGTCCATGGTCACAAGTTTCCGTTTTATCCATCACGAGTTTTTGAGAAAAATCTTCCCAGGCATGCCAATGAAGTGACTGTACAATGTGGCAGCACAAAGGGGGAAAGAAAATTATACAATGCTTTACATAATCATCTCAAGGGATAGACTTTATTTCATGCGTTTCATGTGTTACAGCATGGAACACATTTGTAATGGTCTATTTACAAACTCTTTTCATAGCATGATTTTCAGTGCACACACACTCATCATTTTGGATACACTAAATGCACATACAAGACTAAGGAGTACAGAGGAACATGCAAACAGGATGTACTGTGGGGGCATATGTAAGCCCTAACTGGATACTGTGGGAGAAAAACAACATAAGAATAAATCTGCATCAACTTGCAGAGACCCTTGAATCTGGAGACAATTTTTGGGATAATTCGTATCTCAGCTAAGTGGCACCATCTAGTGGTTTGTCTTCAAACATGCATGTGTACACACACTCAATAAGTAATGGAAACCTATTATAAGATAGACAAAAACATTTTTTTTACTGTAGTTACAACCATTTTTATTAGCTCAAATTGACCCTACTCATTTTATTTTATATTGTCTCTGGCTTTTTTAAATTAAGCTTGTAAGAATCAGTTCCTAGTCGGTAAACAGGCTGTCAAACAGCAGGAGATCGGCAAAATATAAAAACGCAATTCATTGGCAATATGGGAGGGATTTTAGAATGTATCTTTCAAATTCCCTTTTGGCTTTCAATGCTATTACATTATGGGATGATGGAATAACCAAGTGAATCATGTCTGTTTTGTCCATATGTGCAGGATGAAAACCACAAAACACAAACAATTCCATAATGACAGTGCAGGAAAAACAAAACAGAAAGAGAAATCAAACAGGCAGTGAAAGCTGACTGAGAAACCTCCTGCTGTAAATGAACGGAACTAAAAGGCAGATGAATGGTGATAATTAACGAGATTCTCCAGCGACCAGTTTTCAAAAGTGTCAGCAGTGCTCTAAAAGCCATGGCTGCTGGTACTGAGATGAGTAAAGTGAGATTTCCTGATGAGCATGTTAGAAAACATGGTTGATTTTATTTCCTTTTTTAATTAAAAACGCTTTTTTATCCAGGGAGTTTTCATTGAGAGCAAACCACTGTTCTGCTAGTGACGGAACATAAGCAAAACCATATCTTATTAGTTTTTACAGTCACATCTGTTTACATCTTTTCATAGACTTTATTGTTGTATTGTTATGCGTGTACTGTCATTGTTTATCTGTGCTCTGCTGCAAATGTCATTGCCCTCCAGAAGTGGCACCATTCCCCCCCACATTTATCCTGCTGGTCATTCTTTCTGGTCACAAACTGAGGATATCTGTATTTTGAATGGTTTGTAAATCAACCAAGAAACACAATTACATTATTCAATCTGTTTTATCTAAAAGCCACTTTCTCAATGGGTAAATGACATTTGAGTTTCTGTATGGGGCACATTTCTCACCATGCTGTTTATTCCAAACGGCTGTTTCTTCCAGGAAATTGCTAAATTACCAAGAAAAACACAACTGTGTGTATGAGTGACATGGCTCATCATGTCTTTTTTTCTTTTTCTTTTACAATATTTCTTCAATCCCAGCACTATAATAACATATTATCCAACACTACAAACTAATTTGGATGGTAAATATATAATTTCGCTGTGCAGCCTAAAAAGATAAATAAAATAAAAAGAAGAAAAAAGAAGAAAATGAAAAAACAAATCAGCACTGCGGGAAGTGTAAAATGTGATAACACATATTTGATTAAAGCTAAAGAAAAGACGATTGTCTTGAGACAGTCACATTAAAAAAGGAAACAAAAGAGACAATGTGTGCACAATGGCCATATTTCAACATAATGAAGATGTTTTTAATGTAAGCAGAGAGTGAACAAAGTAAATTAAGAAAGAGAAAAAAATCCACAATCTATTTGAGCCAGCAGAACTGATATGTGATATAGCCACAGATACGAAATACTCAGCTATTCTTGACCTTTGTGAAACTAGATGTGTGCGTGTGTGTGTGTGTGTGTGAAAAGTGAAGGGGGTAGGGGGCTGGTAAGATGATGAGTGCAGGTCAGGTGATATCATCATCATCATAAGCCAACAGAGATCTGGTTGTCATGGAGTGTGCATATATGCAAATGGGGGTAGGGAGGTTGTTGTCTGTGATTTTCCGGGAAAATATCTGTGCAAACTGTCACATATGGGGAATAATTTGGCACAAAAATCACATCCGTAACTGAATTTTAGTATTACAACAGGGTTTTGGTGAAGGGTTGAAGTTAGGTTGAGGGTTCGGCATGCAGTGCTTATAGCCATGGTTAAGTTAGGGTTGGCCTCCAGGGAATACATGAGTGCCTCTGTGTTGGTGTGTGTGAAAGGGGTGTTTTTTACAAGGGACTAATAAGTGCCATGGATGACCTTCTACGCTTACATGCACACAGCACTTGCGAGGCTGCAGAATTGGGAAATATATCAGCCACATAAAGAAATTGAGGGTGCAATGTCGTACGTGTTTGCTATGGAGCTACAATGACAAAAAGAAACTAAGAAATGTAATTGTGAATATTCTCAAATGACACACCTTTATTGAGCGAGACAACTCCCAAACACTTCCTACCGCGCACCACCTGAAGATGGCGCTCCGTATCCTTGTACGATGCCTATGCTGCGCGCGCACGGTGCGCGAGCGCGAGAGCGAGACAGAGAGCTGCTGTCTGCCTCCTCTCCAGCGGTGTTGCCTCCCCGTCGCTGCAGTGCTTTGCTGCTCTCCCGTCTCTCTCCATCTCTCTATCTTGCTTTCTTTCGCTCTCGCTTTCGTACCCAGCGCCTCGCCTCTTCCTCCTCCCGCCTACCTCCACATCCCGCCTCCTCCTCCTCCCTGCGGATGCCTCAGACTTGCACCCCCGTCCCATGATCCCGGCAAATGGTCGCCATCCCCGGCAACTCTGGACGCAGCGAAAAGGCGCACCGCTCCGTCGCGATCTGATCTGTGCACACTGCGGTTTGACTTGAGAGAGAGAGAGAGGCGGACCAGGGGCAGAAGGGAAACGAGGGGAAGCCGGACGCTGACAGTGGCCAGGATCACACTTCGGTAAGTCATCGCGTTATTTCCCCGCAGAGGTAGAAGGTGACAGGTCTTCAATCGCCCTGTGTTTGTGGCGCTCATTGTTCCAAAAAGTATAGCACCTAGTTTTGCAAAATCAAGAGATCTGAACATTACCTTTTTGTGCGTGGTGGGTGATTTGGGGAAACTGCTGGTTTGACAGTGATAACAAGCTCGCTGCGAAGTCCTATTAGAAACAAGAGTCCGACTGTGCTCAGATCACCCAACACACGGCAGATATTTGGCTCCATTTGACTGCTGACCCAAATTCACCATCGGTTGTGCGTAAAAGTGCTCGAGAGGTGTGTAAACAAAAGCGGTACGGTTGCTCTTGGTCGCCAGATGATGATTGTTTCCATTCACAAACAGAAGTTACATTGTTATATCTTTACAAAAAATATCTGTACATGATGTTATGGTATATGATTTGTCATAACCAAACAGGTGCCTCAGGTGTTATAGTTGCACTAATACTCATACATCTCATTGTCTGCTGATACCCACCAAGTTGTATGGAATTGCCTTTTGTCTGTAATGTGCTGGAGCATGAGAGGTGATACAAGGATAAGTATGGGTAAGACCATACCATTCCCACAACCATACTTGTACTTTGATCAGTAGACGTTTGCAGGACGAGGATTCTGCGCTGGCAATTTGTCAAGGGCGTACAATATATCCGGCTGATGATGTGGAGGAGAGGAGGAGGAGGAGGAGGGGGGCTGGGGCTGGGGCCGCTGCTGTTAGGCATGCTGTGGGTACATGTTCAGCCCATGTCAGCACTTGTGCAGGTGCATGATGGGCAGCAGAGGTACAGAGAGGGAAAGGGTATCATTATGCTCAGGTCAATATCACATTAATTCCTTTGTCTTTTGGTCCGTGTTGCTTCGAAACTGTGCAACTCTGGGTTGAGATTTATAGGTTGGGCCGCTTCCTTTGTGGCCAGGTAAGCAGCCGTGTAACAAGGAGAATACAATCCCTTCTTATTCCCCTCAAACTGACTTCTCGTGCAGGAAAAAGGACTAGTCACACGCCACGTCCTCCACAGACGACCACTGCTCAGTCTGTTTCAACCAGCACGTCATTCACTTTTCCTGGACTTTCAGCGTTGCCGGTACATCAGACGCCTTGCCCAAGAGCCACAGATCTTCAAGAACTTCAATAGATTTTTTTTATTGTTGAAGGATAAATAGCATTACAAAAGACCTATCACTGTGGGAACTGTCTCAACAGTTCTTGTGCAATCTCTGCCTCCTTCAGACACACACACACACACACACACACACACACACACACACACACACACACTCCAACCCCTCTCTAAATTTCCTAAAGATTAGCTTCTTTTATGTCCAGCGAATGTCTCCAGTGGGCATGAAAAGCCTCGTCCTTCATCGCGGACACAGATTAAGCTAATTCACACAGCAGCGCAGGCCTAATGCCTAATCACTATGCTGCGCCTGCAGAACAGAACAGTCTTTATACTGTGGTAGCCGAGAGAAGGGGAGAGAAAGACTAGGGGGGAAAGCTAGCCGCCGGTGCCTATTGATCGGACAGAGGGGCTATTGGCAGGCGTCCACAGGATGGAGTGCTGACGACCGTCCAAAGAGCTGCCTGGATGAGCTGGTAGTGCTGATGAAGGGAGGGAAGAGTTTGGATCATACTCTCTGAAGCAGAGCAGGGTCAGGGAGAATTTGGAAAATACTTTAACTGTTATGAAATGTATTTTCAATAGGGAGCGAAAGTGGGGTGTGGTTCGGTGTTGATGGTGTAACGGATCAAACACCATTCTGGGACTGTCAAACTTTGTCATTCGAGAATGTTTCACCATGCTGTAGGCCACTTCTTGACACGTGAAATGAGCAAAGACTGAGATCAAGAGAGGTTTGAACTCCCCTTCCAAAAGTCTGCTTTGATGTCTGGGTGCTTTGCCCAATTGTGTGCTGAAGGGATCGACATCGAAACCATCTTCCCAGGCTGAAAAGTAGCTCCGTTCAGCGTTTAGCATACGGTACGGTAACTGTGGTATAGTGACTTTGAGAATCGTAAAATATCCATGTCAGCAATGAAATTTGATCTTCCGATTTGATTATGTATATGATTTTATCATATACTTGATAACAAGACAGGGATCTTTCAGTCTGATGGGACCGTTTCCAATCCTTCTACTTTCACTTGTTCCAGGAATTGTCCATAATTCATGCGATATGTAAGACAGCTTAGTGAGCAGGGAGACTGTATCTCAACGAGCAAGTGAATGAATTTCTACCATGTCCAGGGATTCTTTTCGAGACAGAAACCTGACCTTTGACCTCAGTTTCCCCCCACTTTCTCACACTGTACATTTATCATTTTAACGTCGAAGATACACCCCACATCCCTGTTAGAATACATTTTGATTCATCAATGTTGAACAAATGACGGCACGGTCCGTCTTCCCAATAGCGGATTGTTTTCATTTGTTCGTGAGAACCTGAATATTGGGTTAGATGACTGTTTAAAATGCACTAACGTCTTTCCTCCAGGGAGCTATGAGGCCCATTGGCAAATATGGTACTTCTTTTGAGGTGTGACACAAGCCCAGAGGCAACATCTGATGCTGCTCATTTGTCAATATGAGTTGGAGAAAAAAAGGCCATAGTTATATTGACCGTGTTATCTTTTATTAGCGGTCTAGTTACTGGCTGATATGAAATTCAGCTCTATGTTATGACCTTTTCTCCTAAAACACACAAAAAGAGCTATTTTCTATAATGGAGACTTGTCCGTATGTGTTGTCCTTTACAACGAAGAAACAGAAACAGCCTATAGACAATGATAGAATATGAAACACCATCAAGAAGAATGAATGCTTTGCTTTTAACGCTTTGATGTCCTTGAGCTCCGTTATGAACTATATGTTGTTCATGTTGTCTTCCGTATACCTTCACTAGAATGCAGTGTGAATGGGTCTCAGGCAACTGGCTGACACTTGAACCATACTTGCCGATTGCATTGATAGCACATTCATGGACACAGGGGAGGTGCTAACTGACAGCTTCAGTGTGCTCATCAATCAGCCCGCCGTGATGCTTACGTCGGCGACTAGGTGCTTATGAGCTTGTTTAATGACATACAAAACACTGATGTGCCACTGCTAATGGACACTTTTACAATACCCCCATTACTGTGGGATTGTTACAAGATTACATACATGTTACGCACCATTAAACCTGTAATATTACTCTTCTTTCCCTCAAGGGTGCTGTCCAGTGCACTCAACATAGCTATCTTACGGGGATGTCCAGGTGATAGTCTAGATGTTGTACTTCTGTGCTCGAGTGTGTTCATGTGAGTCATGAAGTAGTCTTAAGTATCATTGCTTTCTTTACTGTTATTAACCAGAGTGAGAACAGTGATGCTGCACTGAGTTGGTCGATGAGCCTTTCTGATTTCTTATATTATACCCAGCAGCTTCAAAGTGAAATACTGGACTGTTTTTTAATTTATTTTAGCCCTTTATATCTACATAGGGAGGAGGTCCTCCACGGAGTACGGCCATGTTGCACCGCCATGATTCTACAGGAGCCCAGAACGGACAAATTACGGAATCAAACACTGGATCTAGAGAGAGCCTTTCACGCTTTTACGTCCAACGCGCTTGGACATAGGAAGGGGTATTCAGTTGGTTGCAATCTGCAGCCTCAATGCTAGATGCCACTAAATCCTACACACTGCCCCTTTAAGTACACATATGAGCAACCAGAACATCTTTTTTTTCCACCTTTGACCAGCAGACACAGCTGGTTGAGCATGATTGAAGTGGCTTCATGTCACCCACTCACTGTGGTGTATTTATTAGGGGATCTGTTCATTCAACCAAAAGGTCTGGAGTCAAGGCCTCATTTTTATCACTTGAGTGTCCTTGAGCAGGACACAGAATCCTGTGTCCTGCAGGTTAAAGGATGTCGGTTTGTTGCTGAGCTTTTGGCCTCTTTGCGAGGAAGGGGAAGCAATGACAAATGTTGGGGCGCGTCAGTTGAATAAGATACAGTTTAACAACAAGAAAATGGTCACCATGGGAATAGGACTTTTTAAGATAGCATAGACAGGCTTTCTGCTGATATGACTTGACCTCTTTTTTTCATGTTCCCAGCACCATTAGTGTATCCTCGGGATTCAGCTTTCTAACGTCTCCCTAAGTGTTTAATCTTCCTATCAGTAATCAATCACTGCAAAAGAAAGTAAGGAAAGAGAAGAAGAAAAGTTGTCCAGCTTTAACAATGCTTTGGATTTATGGCTCGATTTCCACTGATGCCACGTGTAGTAAAAATATATGGGCTCATAGTACTGGAAGGCAGTAAAAGATAAAACCAGTCACCAACTGCTGTGTATTGTATATTGTAGTGATAAATGAGAGCAGGACTTTGAGAAGCACAGCAGGAAGAAGACAGACAGAGAGAGGGAGAGAGAGAGATAGAGAGAGGTAGCGATGTGTCAGTGTTGGAATGAGTCCAGCAAGGCAGCAATATGTGCGTGTGTGTGTGTGTGTGTCTTAGAGCGACAGACATAGAGAGAGTAGTGTGTGCGGATGCCTACTAGTGTGTTTCTGCTGCCGATACTCCTCCCATCTTCTAATGAGCTCACTGCAGATGGGACTCCCTCTGTCAGCCCACTGCCATCCTCCTCTCCCTCCACTCCATTATCCACCCTCACTCCCTTCCGTCTTTAATGCAGGGGGAAACGAAGAAAGAAAGAAAAAGACAGAAAGGCAATAAATAATGTGATAAAAAAAAAAATGAAGAGAGAGGGGGGGTTAAGAATGCAGGTGGAATGAAGAGGGACTTCACAGGAAGGAGTAAAAAGATATGGGAGATGAGGTGAAAAGTGAAAGACAGATTGGAAAATGAAGAGCTATTGACAGAGCTTGTTGGGCAGTGAGATGTGTTTATAAGCAGTGATGAGAGGAAGAAGCAGGGAGTGCTGAGTGAGTGAGCAGGAATCATCAAAAG